GTGCTCCTTCGATCCCAACACTTCAAGCCTTTTTTTGTTCACGGCGCGGACCTCCTGAGTTCTGGACCCCTTCCCCAGGACCGGTATTTTGTCCCAGGACCTCCGGAGGACATCCAAAGGACCCGAAGCCCGCCGAGGACCTCCAGAAGCGGAAACGGATACAGAACCGTCCGCCGTGCTGTTTAACGACGAGAGGGTGTTCTGGTTCCTATTCCTCCTTCCTCACCAATTCTCCTCCTTCTCCTCCTCCTCCGCCTCGCATCAGACTTTTTGCTCAGTCGTTGGAAGGAACGAGTTTCATAGAGAGCATCTGCCACGTCAAAGCACACCGCTCCAGTCAGGAGATAGAATCCCTGGAGATGACGGAGCGCGAATTTGCAGTTGCTAATGCCGTGGTAGATTTCCATGCGAAGATGGCGCTTTCTATTCATCCCTCTGCTGATCCTCAGTTCCTGCAGTCTCTGTCGCTTGCAGAGGAGCGAGCCAATCACTTTGTCAAGCTCGCCTCTCATGTGCTGCCATTGTTCGAAGCAACGCCGAGGTGGACTCGTGTTGCCACAAGCCGCAGGAACACATCCTCGGTGCGTCAGCAGTTTCACGATTGGCACAACCATCCTACCCTCGGCTACCAATGCAGGAGATGTTTGCAGTTGGGAGGAGATGACCAGTCTCTGTTAGAGCTGAACGGATGCATCGGCATCCCAGTTGGCATCAGAAGGCTTCTCAGGGACCCCTTGGGGCACATCGTCGTGACGGCTGGGCTGCGGTTCGATCAACTGACCCCCGCGGCGATCGTGAGTGCGAACGCCCCTGAGAAGCGATGCTGGATTTGTTTACGATGTGGTGCCTGGTCCCAGGGCCGTGCCGTTAAGTTGGCGAAACCCTGTATCAGGCCTGACGAGAAGCCCACGAAGAAAGGTCAGGAGGTTTTAAGACGTTACTACCAGGGTAAGCCGCCGAACCGTCGAGTACGGGTGCTCTTGGGACGTAGCGTTGGACTCCCTTCGCTCGCCTCCTCGGTCGTGTCGGCCCCCTCGGAGTGCGTGCCTGACTTTACTGTGGTGCCAGCAGCGTTCTCGGCCTCCAGGGAAGTACCCACTTACGAGCAAAGCATGGCGGCCCTCCTGGACCGAATTCGTACAAAGGAAGCCAGGCACTCTGGCTAGTCTCCCTGATGTGTTCAGAACTTAGTGCCGTGCACTCCCCCTTTCGAGGGCATTCCATTCCATTCCTCCTCCTCCTGCTCCTCTTCCTACCTGTTTGGCATTGCTCGGACTTCATACAACAGCACGCAGCGGTATTCCTCGTTATCCTCGTCTTCCTCGTCGTGCTGCTCCTCCTCCTCCTCCTCCTCCTCCTCCTCCTCCTCCTCCTCCTCCTCCTCCTCCCTCCCTCCCTCCCTCCTCCACCTCCACCTCCTCCCCCCTCCCTCCTCCCTCCTCCCTCCTCCCTCCTGGGCCTCCTGCTCCTGCTCCTACTCCTCCTCCCCCTCCTCCTTCCTCCTCCTCCTCGTCATCCTCTCCTCTTCCTCTCCTCCTCCTCCAACCCACTCTTCCGTTCCTCCCATCGTCCTCGGTGTTCCTCCTGCCCTGCTCCTGCTCCTGGTTCCTCCTCTCCCCTCCTCCTCCTCCCTCGTTTCCTGATTCCCTTCGTTCACCCACCGTCTCACTCGATTCATCCCTCCTGCTCCTCGCTCGCATCCTCCTCCTCACTTCGTCCCTCCTCCTTTCTCCCTCTCCTCCTCCTCCTCCTCCTCCCCCTCCCCTCGCTATCCTCCTCCTCTTCCTCCTCCTCCTCCTCCTCCTCCTCCTCCTCCTCCTCCTCCTCCTATCCCCTCCTCTCCTCCTCCTCCTCCTCCAACGGTCCTCTTTGCTGGGTCCTCCTCCTCCTCCTCCTCCTCCTCCTACTCCTCCTCCTCCTCCTCCTCCTTGTCCTCATTCTACATGTTTGACATTGCTCCGACTTCATACAAAAGCACGCAGCCTGTTCCTCCTCCTCCTGCTCCTCCTCAACCTCAACCTCCTCCTCCTCCTCCTCCTCCTCATCATCATCATCATCAACATCATCATCACCATCACCATCACCATCACCATCACCATCATCATCACACCATCTCACATCATCATCATCATCATCGGCATCATCATCATCTCAGCATCAGCATCATCATCAGAAGCATCATCATCATCATCATCATCATCATCAGAATGCAGCATCAACCATCATACATCTTCAAGCATCATCATCGTCATCGTCATCGTCATCCGTCATCGCGGCCATCGTCTCATCCTCATCCTCATCCTCATCCTCATCCTCCTCCTCCTCCTCCTCCTCCTCATCATCATCATCATCATCAGCATCATCATCATCATCATCATCATCATCATCATAAGCATCATCATCATCCGCCTCCACCTCCTCTTCCTCCTCCTCGTGCTCCTTCGATCCCAACACTTCAAACCTTTTTTTGTTCACGGCGCGGACCTCCTGAGTTCTGGACCCCTTCCCCAGGACCGGTATTTTGTCCCAGGACCTCCGGAGGACATCCAAAGGACCCGAAGCCCGCCGAGGACCTCCAGAAGCGGAAACGGATACAGAACCGTCCGCCGTGCTGTTTAACGACGAGAGGGTGTTCTGGTTCCTATTCCTCCTTCCTCACCAATTCTCCTCCTTTTCCTCCTCCTCCGCCTCGCATCAGACTTTTTGCTCAGTCGTTGGAAGGAACGAGTTTCATAGAGAGCATCTGCCACGTCAAAGCACACCGCTCCAGTCAGGAGATAGAATCCCTGGAGATGACGGAGCGCGAATTTGCAGTTGCTAATGCCGTGGTAGATTTCCATGCGAAGATGGCGCTTTCTATTCATCCCTCTGCTGATCCTCATGTTCCTGCATCTCTGCGCTTTGCAAGGGAGGCGAGCCATCACGTTGTCAAGCTCGCCTCTCATGTGCTGCCTTTTTCGAAAAAAAAAAAAAAAAAAAAAAAAAAAAAACAAAACAAAAATAAAGCAAATAAAAAAAGAAAAAAAGAAGCAACGCCGAGGTGGACTCGTGTTGCCACAAGCCGCAGGAACACATCCTCGGTGCGTCAGCAGTTTCACGATTGGCACAACCATCCTACCCTCGGCTACCAATGCAGGAGATGTTTGCAGTTGGGAGGAGATGACCAGTCTCTGTTAGAGCTGAACGGATGCATCGGCATCCCAGTTGGCATCAGAAGGCTTCTCAGGGACCCCTTGGGGCACATCGTCGTGACGGCTGGGCTGCGGTTCGATCAACTGACCCCCGCGGCGATCGTGAGTGCGAACGCCCCTGAGAAGCGATGCTGGATTTGTTTACGATGTGGTGCCTGGTCCCAGGGCCGTGCCGTTAAGTTGGCGAAACCCTGTATCAGGCCTGACGAGAAGCCCACGAAGAAAGGTCAGGAGGTTTTAAGACGTTACTACCAGGGTAAGCCGCCGAACCGTCGAGTACGGGTGCTCTTTTTTTTTTTTTTACCCCTATCAACCCCTGAACTTCTTTTCGATGCTTGAGGGCACTGTGCCTCAAGACCCCACTTCGGGCACTTCAAGCCACCTTCCGCGGCCTGTAGTGGCCCGCCCAGGCTGAGAACCCTCAGCAGCAGCAGCGGTGACACGCACACGGGGAGAGGAGGAGGAGGAACTAGAGAACTGCACAGCGGCCTGCTGTTGTTCCATCCAGCCAGAGGCAGAGTTGAACTCTCCGCGCCGTGCGCGGGGCCGGGGAGCAACGGTGCGAGGGTCACTAACGGCGCACCGCCGGGCAGTCCCCACTCGCACCGCGCCCCCCGCTGGGTAGTGAAACCCATGCACAGCGGCCTGCTGACTCCACGCTCGTGAAAGAAAAGGGTGGCGGCGAGCAGTAACTCGCAGCCGAGCTTCGAAGTGTTCAGCTGGGGTTCCTGGGGTGCCCTTACGCCTGGCGGAATGGGCAGCGAGGAACGCATCGATACAGGCGGCAAAGAGAACATTAGACGAACGTGGTGAGGGTGAAAGAAGGAGCGCGGGGAAGAGCCAGGGATACCCCTCAGGAATCGACGACGACGGTGGAAGAATGTGTCCAAGCCAACAATGAAATAGATGAAAGAGACGGGGGCAGCGAGCATAGTGAGCAACTGAGTCGAGGTCACGACCTTGCGCGTGTGGGCACCCCAGGAGGCAGCCTTTCGCCGCCGAATGAAAACGGGTCGAAGTACAGACTGATCTCGAGAGGAATCTGAGGAGCGACACTATCATATACGGCTGAGTTTTCTGAATCACGTAGTGGGCATTGATGAAAAACCTGTCAACCATCTCACGCTGTACTAGGGGAAACCATTTTTGAATACGACGCTGTAGAATACTGTGTGGGTGTTCTCGACGCGACGTGTTGGCCCAGAGCATACCATAAAGTAAATGTTGAAGCTTTTTGTGTTCAGATGGGATGCGTGCTAAGATAGTAGGGGGAGATGGACTCGACGGAGTGCGAGGCAGACTGAAATACCACTCATACAGCCGGCGCATATATGCAAGGAAAGATGAATTCCACCATCCACTGCAAAACCGAACGAAGATACTTTCACGTTCATCTCGCAGGGCCTCCAGCCTCGACAACGTGATACTGAAGGTGCTGCTGCGAATAACATAGCGAAGGCACGTTGCACGGGCAAGAGTCTGAAGGTCCTGAAATTCCACAGGAAGATGGAAGCTAGATAACTGCGTACATAAGTCGTATGAGAGTGAGTTTCGTGGCCCCGCAGTGAGGTACATGACCGCCTCCTTATACATGTGAAGAAGAGCAGGGGATACAGGGTGAAGTTGTAGAGTGAAGGACAAGATGGAGACACACATGACTTTGAAGGCCAGCGCCGAACGTGTGAGACCGAGGCCCAGCTGTCTGGTGATCCCGACACGGCGACGAAACTTTGGGGCGGCCTCGCACCACGCAACCATCTCGGCACCACGGCCGATATAGATACCTAAGTATTTGACAACCTCTAAGACCTGGATCTTTTTGAACTCACCCACAAGCAACCGAACCGAGTCCCTCAGGAGGTTCACATCAAGGGAGCCCACGACCAGGATCTGACACTTTTTGAAGTTAAGCCTGAGTCCCGCAATCTTTTCGAGCCGAGTCAGCAGGGCGAGGAGGGGGCCCAGGGAGCGGAAAACGTCTCTGAGACCAAAGCAGAAATCGTCAGCGTAGGCGAAAGTCCTGTCGATGTGCGCCGACGCCTTGAAACGAACCCATCGAAGCAGAGGGTCTGCAGCAAGTACAAAAAGAAGCATACTACTCGGGCAGCCCTGTTTGACCCCACTCGACATGATGAACTCTCCATGGATCCTTCCACCCAGGCAGATGATGGCTATATTAGACATGTAGAGCAGGCTGAAAAACTTGCAAACATAAGGGCATACCTTCATAGTGACTAGCACGTGCAGCATCCACGGGATCGCCAGCGAAGGGAACGCGGCGCAAAAGTCTGTGAGGAAGAGGCAAGAGTTCTTTCTGTCGAGGACGTGTTGTTCCAACCCCCAACCCTCCGCCTCCACAACATTAGTGAGCATATCCCTGCCAGCAACGCACTTCTGTTCGGGCGAGATCAAGCTGCTGGTGTTGGCGGCTAACGAACAAGACATGGCACCAGCTAAGATCTTCACGTCTGTATTTGACATGCTGAGCGGGCGCGTGCAGCTAGGGTGTCGAAGAACATCATCATGCTTATCCCGAGGTTCTGTGCCCTTCGGTAGGAAGACCATGAGGCTCCGCCTCATTTGGGTCGGCAGCTCGTGAACGTCATCTGTAAAGAGGGTAAGATAGACATCGTACAACAGACGGGACGCATCAGGAATCTTCCAGACCCCGTATGGCAACCCATCTTCACCCGGCATACTGTGGACCCGCGATCTCACATAGTCATACCATTCCCCGTATGAAAGCTTCCAGGCTCGAGGAAGGGGTTCAGGGATAGGCTGGATGAAAGCATCAATCTCGGCCCATTCATCGACGTTCAGAGGAGGAGCGGAAAACTCAGCAGACCAATAAGACTTAAGGACCTCGGCGGAGTGGTCGACAGACCTGCAGGGTACACCATTCTCATCATATATGCCAGTCAGACAGGTACGACTCTTGAAGCGTCGCCACAGCTCCTGCATTCGATTGACTCGGTTTTTCTTGGAGGCTTTGACTTCAGGGGAGAGGTCTGCTAGTTCAAGTTCCCGTGCTTCCTCATCAATCAATTGCATCTGGATACTGCGAATGAGACTGCAGAGGCCCTCCAGGCGGATACACTGAAACGTGGTGAGGCAAAAATGCGACTGTAACGTCGGGTAGCATTTAAGTGCACGGTGGATTAGCCAATCTTTGCCCAGTCGCCATCCTCGAAGAGCCTGCAAGGCCCAATACTGCTTAAGCTCGAGTGTGTTGGCAACCTCGTGCTTGACAAACTCGCGCACGTGCGCGGCCGAGGCAAACATCAATTCCTTGAGCTGCTCGAGGCGCTCCCAGGGACCTAGCTCCGTGGACATATCTGCAATGGCGGCCTCCAGGAACCGTTGGAACTCCGGGTGCTTCGAGATCCACTTCGGGATGTTTTTGGGGCCATCTTGGGGCCTGAAGGGCTCGATATTGATGAAAATCGGGATGTGATCGCTAGCCATTTTTGCTTTGAGCTTGCCCAGGACGCCACAGCGTATGTCCAGGTCACGTATGATAGCTTGAGGAAGGGAGGTGTACGCCCGATCCAAACGTGCCGAAAGAGTAATGACCCCATCCCTGACCTCCCGCCTAGTGTCCTGCTCTTGGTAAAATTCAGTGAGGTGAGGAAAGTGTCGTTGAAAAAGCCTGGCCTGAGCGCGATCACCTGCTCTCCATCCCGACCCGTCATACAGCATGCGTCCCTCCTCCTCAGGCACAAAGTTAAAGTCCCCAATCAGGATCCTATGATCGTTCGGGTACTTCTGGAATTCAGACCGAAGCAATGACAGCGCGCGGGAGAACGTGGCAACAGAGTCACTCGTGTTAGGGAGGTGGAGGTTGAATATACTGATGGACCCATTCAGACCAGAGAGGCGACTATGGAGAATACGACCAGTAATAATCGGATTATGTGTAATAGTGTCGAACAGCTGACTAAACTCGCTACTGATGATCGTGACGACCCCTCCTTCACGCTGAGAGTCGGGGAAGAACGAGGATCCAATCGACCAGCCCGAGGAAGCCGAGCCCAGCTCGCGATGGAGCTCTCCGATATCTCCTATGTGTCCGTGTGTTTCCTGGCAGCACGTGATAGCGAATCTGCGAGGGAGCGAGAGGAGGAGTGAGTAGCGTGCGCTGGCACGCCATCCTGAACGTTTGACAGAGCTGAACAGACCGTGTGTATTCCACGAACAGATGGTAAGCGGAGCCTTCGGGACAAAGGGAAGACTATTGGGAGAGGGGGAAAAGGGAGGACTATTAGACAAGGCCTCACCACGTTCGTGCGAAGAAAAAGATGGAGGTGTGCGTGTCACTGTGGCCTCCTGGCCACCCGAAGTGCAATCTGAATCAGCGTCGAAAGGGACGCCTGATGGGAACAAGCGCAGCAGCGCGGATGGCGGCAGCCTGGGTCTCCAACCCAAACTCTCTCAGGCCAGCGGCGTCGAGCTCGACGGAAATCGCGAGGTCGTCACCCGAGACCTGGATCTGGGCAATCTCGATGGGTTCATTCTCTGACTTCAAGGCGTATACGAGCCCTCCCAACCCATTGCTGCCAACTTCGATGCCCCTGGGAGCCAACAGGTTGGATACGAGCGCGCGCACTTTGCCCATGGAGAGGAACAGCTGGCGGCCTTTGATGTCCTGGTCTCTCTTGAGCTTGATATTGAGCATGTTCTGCGGGGCGAGGGGGTCAGGATGGCGAAAGACCCCGTCGCGACTGTAGTTCGTCAGGAAGTTCGTGGCATCTGAGGCGCTCTCGAAGTGGAAGGTGATCTTCTTGGCCATGTCAAAACATTTGGCGGTGATCCGAGCCTGGACATCCTGCGGGGCGTACTGCGACTTGATGGCGTCGGCAATCGTCTTCAGGGAGCGGGCGAGCATCTTGCGAGGGAAGCCGATCGCGACCAGCGTGCAAGTGTTGTCCTGCTGCGCCTCGACCGAGCTGGAGACCGAGGGGGCTGTCGAAATAGTGCGTAACTGTGCCTTGATCTCGGCAATCTGTTGTTGAACTTTGGCGTGAACCTCTGCACCCTGTTCGTCGTCTATGTCGGAGATAGGCACGGCTGTACGTGCTTCCTGGGCGCGGAGCTCATTCGTGATCTGCGTGTGGACCTCACTCTTGAGCGTGGTGAAGCGGTCGTTCAGGTCGGTGAACATGGCGGACTGTTGGCCTTCGAGTTGAGCGACTTTCGATTGAATGTCATTGGTGAGGGTGGTCATATTCACCGTGAGCTGATCACACCTAACAGTCTGTGCAGCGACCTGGTTCTTGATGAGGCCAATGTCGTAGGACTGCGCGGAGAGTTGCGAGCCGAAGCCTCGGAGCGCGCGTAGCACTTCGTCGAGCTTCTCGCCGTCGGAGGCCTTCGGGCGCTTGCTCTTGGTGCCAACGGAGCGGCCAGGATCCGAGCGGCCAGAGCGG